ACAAGGATAATCACCTGTTGAGGGCCTCTGCGAATAATCAAAGTGAAGGATAAACTAATGGAAACTTCGACCTGCGCGCATTCGAAATGATGCCTCCGTCATAGAGCAAGTTTACAAACCAAAACAGAAGAATTTTTCAAATTCGAATTTCATTGTAATCCATTAACAGGTTCTCAGAATATCGTGATTACAAGCAATTTCTCATATACATATATGACCCTTTGATCTTTGACCTCATGACCCTAAATCTACTCAGTTCATTGGCTCTGCAAGATGTCCTGAATTAAATAGTAATCCATCTGTCAGTTCTAATGATAAGCTGTTTTTGCATACATAATGAGCCCATGACATTTGACCTTTGACCTCATGACCCATAAATCTACTCAGTTCATTGGCTCTGCAAGATACATACATGACCTAAGTTTGGCAGGAATCCATCAATCGGTTCTTGAGATAACGCGATCACGAGCTGTTTTTCATACATAATGAGCCCTGTGACCTTTGACTTTGACCTGTGACCCCAAAATCTTATCAGTCCATCGGCTCTGCAAGATACATACATGACCAAAGTTTGGCAGGAATCCATCAATCGGTTCTTCAGATAACGCGATCACGAGAACGGGACGGACGGACGGACGGACGGACAACCCGAAAACATAATGCCTCCGGCTACTTCGTAACGGAGCCTAACAAAGGATATAACAAAGTAATTCATTCACACCTTCATTTTCTTTGTCTGACATCTCATCCATCAAAACAGCATCATCGGGCCTGTTCACTTCGTTGTCAGGATCATCATCAACATCTGGATCTATGTTGCATTCTGAAAAACAAAAAACAAACACAGATTTAACAAGAGCAGGTGAAAAATAACATACATGTACATTATAATCTTTGCAAGGGTAAGTTCATAGCAGACAGCTGTGGATAGTCATCCCTGTTTTGCTTTTCATGTAAACAGCACAGCTGGTACCACAACTACTCTTCAATACAAAGTGTATTTAGAGAGACAATTCTGCAAGTGTCATCATTTTTTTAAAACACATGAGTATCCAAAATATATCAAATATGCAAATTAGCTCATTAATGTCATGATTATGCAAATAATGCAATGAAAAGCATCACACAACATCTTGGCACCTCAGTCTGTCACCCTACCAGGTTTCAAATGAATCAGGTATAGCGTTTAGCCTGCAGAGCATTTTTTTTAAGGTTAACCTAAATTGCATTGCAAATAAGCTAATTGAAATTCATGAATATGCAAATAATACAGCTCAAAGCAACACATGATATTGTGGCACCTCACTCTATCACCCTACCAAGTTAGAAGTAAATCGGGCATAGCGTTTAACCTGCGGATCATCCTACCAAGTTTTGGAGTAAATCAAGCATAGCGTTTAGCCTGCGGAGCATTTTTAGAAGGGTTAACCGAAAACGTTAACCGAATCGGTTAATGGAAAGACGGACATAGATAATTTGGATTAGTATGTGCCACCATGAACGTTCAGTAAGGCGACACAAAAATCAAATCACATATTCAAGTATTTGAAATGTTGGCAGCTTCCCATATATTGTATCTCGGATCAATTCTTATTAAAAACTGGAGGTACTAATGAAGACATCCCAGTTTGCTTACCAAAAGCATGGAACTTCACAAACTGAAGGATATAGCAAGCATACAAAACTAAGGAAATTATACAATATAAAAACTGTGTTGTATGAGAGTGAAATGAATGATTGAGATGTAACATAAAAGTTTTCTGGCCTAATGTAATCTCAAACTAGAAACCGTTATGATCTCACTAACCAATCAGATATCACTTTAGATAAAAGTAGAAGGAAATGAAAATGGTATGGCATATTCTTAGCCATTCTATCTAGCACAAAACATAAAAAATAGTCATACCTTCATCTGCATCTACACGAACATCATCCAACGTCTTTCCTGCCATTGCCTTTAGGTCTCCCTTCTCCATGCTGAAGAGTACTTTAGAAATCTTTGCTACTTGCAGTGACGCATCTGGCAGGCGGTAGTAGGCTCTGTGGGTTCTTATGTCATGGCCCATGAAGGTGGCTAAAATGTCCACTTCATTATCCTTCAAATTCATGATCTGAGAGCTGATAGCAATGTGCTTCCTGAGTTTTGTCAATCTAAGCTGATCTGGATACTTTGCTCCACACTTTTGGGCATGATTTCGC